GCCAATTTTTTTTTTTTTTTTTTTCCACGCGAATGAAATTAGGCTCGAGCAGGCTGCGATCGCATCAATTGACGATGACGCTGAAAACGCGGCTCTCGACGCTCCTCTTCCTCTTCATTGTCATGCGCTGCGGAATCACTGCGTAACACATACACACGTGTGCTTGTGAATATACACACAATGCTCAGGTGTACGTATGAAGGATTCCTCGAAAAATTATCTTACTTTTGATTTTAAAAAATTTTTTATTTTTTATTTTTGATGGAAATTTCAAAATATATCAAACAATTATTTCTGACTTAATATTGCAATAAATTATGTAAGATTAACTTTGATCATTTATTTTGCTCATCGTAATTGATGGATGTGGCGTTTTACGTCGATTGTCAACGAAAATAATGAATATAAAAAAATTTGATTTTTTCAACTGTAATGGTGTTTAAAAAGCATTATGGAGAATATTAAAAAGGGAAAAATCAATGGGACAAATTACGACTTATATCAAGTAAAATACAAAACTCACTCACAATCAATGAAATTAAGACTGGGTTTTTTTTTTTTTTTTATGTTATTATTAAAATTTAAAGCAAAAAAAAAAAAAAAAGAATTCAGGAAAAAAACCGTCAAAGTGTTTGAAAAAAAAAAATTGAATATTTTATTTCAAATACTTAAAAAATAATCCTTTATCTAAAATGTATTGTAATTGTGCCAAATAGTGTCGGACTATTAATAATGTTACCATATACTTGTACAGTACACGCGTAAACAGATTACAGTAGATCTTGCAATGTTTCCGGTCTCTGTCCCCCACTCACTGTCATCATGTATGCATGTATTCTTATTTATGCAAGTATGCACACATGTATATTTATTCACCTCTGCAGGGTGACAATTGCGGCTGCTGCATTTTATTAATAAATGATTCCGTCATCTGTACAATGTCGCGATCTGCTCGCATGTGGGCGCCCTGCACCTTATAGCACTGTCACTGTTTCGTTAATCACTTGCGCCCTTGAAAACCCCCCTCTGAACGATTTAATCCAACTACCGCTGCTTATTTACCTTACTTATCGAAATGGATTGATTTTCGTTTGCTCCCCCCCCCTTTTTTTTTAACAATTATTTTCCTTCATCTGGTCGCGGAATGTCTTTTTTCATCTAACTTTTTCAATACTATCGATTTCATATTTTTATGCGGCTATTTATACGTTACGTACAAATCAATAAATGCTTCATTTCGTTTGACATGCAAAAGGAGAATGAGCATGTGAATTACATTTTATACAATGTCCATTAGAAAATGTACAAATAAACTTGTTGGATTTTCGTATATTATACGTGTATGTACGGCATGATGTTGGAACTTTTTCCCCAAGAAATACGTTTGATGAAACAAAAAAAAAAAAAAAATTTTTCTAGGAGCTTTCTTGGTACCGTATCTTTTGATGCTTTTTTTATGCGGCATTCCCCTGTTTTTTATGGAATCCTCGATGGGCCAATTCGGTAGCACTGGCTGTATAACGATGTTCCGGATGAGTCCGCTGTTCAAAGGTAAAAAAAAAAAAAAAAAAAAAAAAAGAGAGAAAACTCATTGTCACCCTGTTTGGGATTGCCAATACGACACAAGCGATTTTCCCTTCTTTCTTTAAGTATTTTTCCATGACAGGTGCCGGGTTTGCGATCGTCATAGTAAACGTCATATGCACAATGTATTACAACGTCATAATTGCGTACCCGCTATTGTTCATTTTCATGTCCATCAGGGGTACTTTGCCTTGGGAGAACTGCGGTAATCCCTGGAATACGTACGGTTGCCTCAAGGTGGGTAAACACTTCCTATACAAGCACGACTCATTTAAATTGGAGTGTAAGTTAAACGTGTGTAAAAAAAGGAGCTAAAAGTGTGTAATAATTCATTGTACGACTATTTTTATTGGTCTTCGAAACAAACCTTTATACTTGAATGAGTGCAGTCTGGGGATATTGTACATTTAATCAACTCTGTGTCTCAACGAGAATTTTCTGGTTTGCATTTCAAAAAGTTTTTTAAAGGAAAAATATTGTTTATGAATTTTACTACAAAGATTTAAAAAAAAAAAAAAANATTTTTTTTTAAATACAAATTTGTTGTATTGGACACATCTTTGTAAACGAATCAAACACATTGCAGATTGCAAAATGATACCAAAGAAGAAAAAAAAATCCAAATTTACTTGAGATAAATTTAATTTACATGTTCGTCATTATAAAAAATATTTTTTACCTAACTTTATAAACTATTGTAAAGTAAAATTACACATTTTTGCTCAAGCAAATAGCATAAAAGTTGTAAAATTAGCCATTTACAATAATTCAGCTACTTGTTTTTATTATTAATTGAAACATTTTTACAATAAAAGTAATAACGGTAATAATGTTTTATTTTTTCATTTCTTTAGTTAGGTGGTGAAGTCTTTACGGAGAAAAATGTAACTGACCAAATACAATTGATCAAAAAGACGAGAACGCCAGCGGATGAGTTTTTTCAGTGAGTCCCATTTTCTTAATCAATCGACTGACAATTATTGTTTACTATAAAACTCAAAACAAAAAATGATTTTAAAATTATAGCAATCACATACTGAAGATATCGGATAGTATAGATGACATTGGTGGCTTCGTTTGGCCGCTATTCTTTTGTAATTTAATTTCATGGATTATAATTTTCTTGTGCATTTGCAACGGCGTCAAAACAGTCGGAAAGGTAACTTGAAAATGTTTAATTATCTATAAAAAAAAAAAAAAAAAAAAAAAAAAAAAAAAAAAAATCATCGAATGACGCAGGTGGTTTACTTCACGGCGACCTTTCCATTCGTCATACTCTTGGTTCTTTTTCTAAGAGGTATCACACTACCCGGTGCCATGGATGGTATTGTTTTCTATCTGATGCCAAAGTGGGAGGAGCTCCTGAACTTAAAAGTATCGATACAAAAAATCTACACATTGATGAAATAATTTTTATTCTTCTATTTTAACAATTTTACCAATGTGTAATTAGGTTTGGGCCGATGCTGCCATTCAAATATTTTTCTCCCTCGGTCCCGGCTGGGGAGGCATTGTCAACATGGCCAGTTATAATCCCTTTCGCAACAACAACAGACTGTGAGCGTTGCCTTTTTAATATTTTGGTTCGTCACGAAATGTACAAGTTTGCCATGTATACATTATTCTTTAGAGATTCCATATGGGTGCCCATACTAAACTGCGGAACGAGTATATTCGCTGGTTTCGTTGTTTTTTCGGTGCTTGGATTCATGGCGTACAAAACTGGCCTACCCGTGTCGACCGTGGCCACTGGAGGTGAGTTCATATTATATTATATTGACGTATTTTTTCTTCCCCAAAAGAAAAGTTTTGCGAACCGGTGCGAGAAATTATAATCGAAGGGCGCAACGAGCCGAACGCGACGGTGGTAGAGTACGTTTTCGCGACTGATACCATCGGCAAGAACAATAGCACATCTAACCGAGGGGATGACGCCGAGTCGAGTGATCGAGGTGTTGTTGGCGTTACCGCCGCCGATGGGGAGCCGGACCGCGGCACTTGGGCCAGCAAAACCGAGTTTCTGCTCTCGTGCGCGGGGTACGCGATCGGCATCGGCAACGTGTGGCGATTTCCGTACCTGTGCTACAGGAACGGTGGAGGTATTTTTCGATCGTTCGATAGCTTTTTTTTTTTTTTTTTTTC